CGTTTCATCATTGATTGGATTCCTCTCTTCCCATTTCTAGGCATAGCACTGAGGCCCTGACAAGCAGCTCATTTCTGAAGGTTTTCCCCTACTAAGACCTCACTGTCAGAAAATAAACAAGCCATTGTTTATCTGACTGATTTTAGGGCTTGAATTCACTTAGGAAGTAAATATCAGGGTTGTGTTTCATGTGGTGGCACTGTCATGGCCCGACCATCCCTGGGTAACGTCAGCCCACAGCAGCAGCCAGCTCACTCCCAGCCTGGGGAGTCACCATGGGGTGAAAATGCCCAAGGACCAGGAGCCTCAGACACCTGGATTGTATCCAAACTCTGTCTAACCAGTTGCTTGAGAAGTTTGTCTCCTCTCAACCAAGTCACACTGGACTCCCACGTTTTCCTCTCTAAAATGACAGAAGGGGACAAGTTCAGTCTAGAAGGCTCATGCATTAACCACACACACAAGGCCTGTTGAATCACCCAAGAAGGCTTCACATGGTGTTGCTTTGTTTTGTTTTTGAGACAGAGTCTCATTCTTGTCACCCAGGCTGGAGTGCAATGGCTCAATCTCGTCTCACTGCAACCTCCGCCTCGCGGGTTCAAGCGATTCTCCTGCCTCAGCCTCCTGAGTAGCTAGGATTACAGGTGTGCACACTATGCCCAGCTAATTTTTGTATTTTTAGTACAGACAGGGCTTCACCATGTAAGCCAGGCCAACTCCTGACCTCAGGTGATCTGCCCGCCTCAGCCTCTCAAAATGAAATTTTAACTGGTTGCCAACATTTAAAAATTTGGAGAATTTGCATAAAAATCCCAATTTCTAATACTCAAAAAAAAAAAAAAAAAACTCTGAAGATCTGGGACCACCATACTGAACACCAGTAAGACTGGCTACCCATCACAATGCCCCAGTCCTCACCATTCCCTATTGCCTTCCCAACACTGAGGCTGGGTGTTGGTTTTTCTTATACGTGTCCCAATCACAGCTCACTCAGTCACATCCCCTGCAAGGCTGCCGAGCTAGATGAGCTCCCCGGCCCCGATCACCTTTAAAACTCTGTGACTTTTCCTAACACTTCCTATTTTTCCCTCCTTTTCTCTAAATATATCTCATGCTTGGGTTCTTTCGGCAGAACCACCTACCAGTCATAACAGTTCTTAGTCGTAGCTGCACATTTGAATTACTGGGGAAGGCTATGGGAATCCCAGTGTCTAGGCTACACATGGCAGTGAGATCCAGGCAGCTTTGAAAGCTCCAGGTGATTCCTGTGTGCCGCCTAGGTTGAGAACTGCTGCATTAGAGCTGAAAATGCAACGGACTCGTTTTGGAGGAGCGAGCTCCCTGTTATGGGACATAGTTAAGCCAAGGTGCATGAGCACTTTGCAGAGATGTGTGGGAGGATCCCCGTATCAGCTGCTGCTCTTCTGAGATGCTTCTCCTCTTTACAGTCCCCCTGCCTTTGCCCCTCAGAGCCTCCCAAGCTCAGCTCCGTTGAGCATAGATGGTGCTACGGTGGTCTCAGCAAGGGCTCCTTATCCAACAAACCCTAAGCTCAGCATCAAGCGTCCCCAAGCCAGCACCGCCCCCTCCTGCCTCCTACATACTAGCTGATGACTAAGCAGATGGCCATGCAGGGTAGTCCCAGGACAGTCACATTAGATCAACCACATTCCTAGCCACCCACCTGTCTGTTGGGGCTGCACCATAAAGGGGAAAGAGCAGGGACTTGGGGCCAGAAGGCCTGAAGGAAGGACCTGGTTCTACTCCTTGCCATCTGGGCATGTTGCTCAGTCCTCGTGCCCTGAGTGGAGCCTGGGTCTGAGGTGCGGGCATGAGTTGATACCCTCTAAAGTGCTAGGTGACGGTAGGATGCTGAGAGAGGGTCAGATCTCAGCTGGGTGATACAGATGAAAGGGAGGAGCTGTGAAGCGTGGTTAGGAAGGTTTGGAGAAAGAGAAAGCGGCATGAAATGTGCCTTTCAAATGAGACGTTTAGCCCAGACCTCGGAGCAAAGTGGAGACATGGGCCAGTTATCTGATAACCTTGATCACAATATGGTCACTTAAAAACACCCAAGTAGCTACCATCAGTACTTTTAGCATCTTAGGAGTTCTCGAGAGTGGCACCAGTGCTCCACCTGGCCAGTGGGACACGCCACCCATAGTCTGCCTCTCACATTCCCAGAACTTCTTGGAAACTGGTACCAAGACCCCATCCCAGTCCTCTCCCCACCCCATAGAAAATTGGCTATGTTCCCCTGAAATCACAAATATAAGAGGAAGAAGCCCAAAACATACACACCTTTTCTGGGAAGCATCCTTTCCCATTCCAAAATAACCATTCACTTCTTCAGCCATCATGAGCCTTAGCACAGAGACAGCAGGACAGATAACCCTCCAGGACCCCACAGCTCAGCACGTAAGGCAGGTGTGCACACCACAGCCCCCACCGCATGGTTTCCATGTGTGCCCAAAGGGACATACTTAGCACAGCTCAGAGATGGGCAAAAGCTCAAAAGAGTCTTGATGTGAGCCTTGGTGAGGAGAGGCACTAGGAAATAGCACAGTGCCATGTTAGCTGCATGCCAGACCTTCTGGGGAGGGGTGCAGGTGTCGGTGGGAGCTGAAACTGGTGGGTGGCAGGGGCCAGGTCTTGCAGAGCTTCTCAACTATGGAACTTGGGTTGTATGGGGAGCAGGGAGAGATTTCGAAGAAATGCCTGGGGGGCTACTAGGTGGAGGATGCATCACTGTGATGGGCTGCCACCACAGAGACTTCTCAGAGGTAGCGCGGGGAAGAAATGACGAAGATCACAGCATCTGCAAACACTTGCTCCTGTTATTTTTCAAATGTGCTGTGTTTGCAGTTACCAGAGACGCTGCCCTGTTCTGCGTCTGCCTTTGTCCCTCCCTCGGGTTTCCACTTGGAAAATTCAGCTGCCAGGAAGTTTCTCGGCCTAGACAGGATGAAATCAGAGAAACCACGAGGAAAGGGGTCTTCGAAGGACAGGCTCACGAAGCGGCCACGGTTGTCTCGGGGCCACCCAGTTGGCTCCTGCCACGCCCGGGAGAATCGGGTTCACTCCTATTTGGCCACCCAGGACCACGGCCTCCATCAGCTGTGTCGAAGGGGAGATTCAAGTAACCCAGCCCCATAGTCAGGATGGGGGATGTGGATATGAAGATTCTCGAAATGCATTTTATTTCCTCAAACATTACACGATGACGTGAGTCACTGAACTTACACAGGTTACTGGCCATCTATAACATCGTCTGATTCACAGGCTACCATCTCCCACTCTAGGACGTTTTTTTAGGTTTCCTTTTTTGAGTTGCAAAAGGAAAATTTTGCAAAAGGAAAGAAGTATTTGAGCTTCAGAAAACCTGTCCCTCCTACCCCAACCTTTCAGCTGAAAGCACTGAATAATATTAGACAGTTTCCTCTTTCAGTGATACATACGTGTTTTTTCTGACCTATCTTTACTTCTGGCCTGCATCTAATGGATGAGTTTGATTATACAGTCACGTGCATCTCTGCAGAGATGTCAACAGAGACCATGCTGGCCTTTGCTTTACTTAGGGAGGGCAAACCATGGAGTTTGCTTGGACAGAAAGATGTGAACTATGTCCAGTCTAGAGACACAATGGTAAGAAATCGGTGGTAAGGATAATGTCCTTCTGCCAAGGCAAAAGCATTGCTTTTCGAGGGATGCATGCTAGGGTAAGTGGAAACTTTTACTAGAAATAAAGATGTTAGATTACACACCAGCGTGTGTTCTGAGTCCCTGAGGGAGCGTAACTGTGATGGAGAGTAAGATGATAACAAATAGAAGGGATGTTTTCCCACTTAGGGAGAAAATTCTACATTGTCTTGGAATGTTGGGACCTGGAAGATATCCTGGAGGCCACACCTAGACTGTGCCTCGTCATTGCATAAATGTTAAACATTAGGTTCAGCAGAGATAAGTGACTTGCTCAAAGACACACAGATAGCTGGTGACCAAAGTGTCACTAAAACTCAGGTCTTGAGTTACTCCCCGCCTCTGAGCCTGCTTCCTAGTCCGTGGAATGGACGTAGTCTCTTCCTCACTACGTTCTTGGCTAAGGCGTACCCTGTACCCTGCACTCTTCCTTCTCCGTGTTCCCTCTCATAACCCTTTGATAGAGGACTTGAGGCAGGACGCGGGGATTCTGTTTCAGAGGTGGGTACACCAAGATGTAGTGAGGAGTCTTTAGAAGAAAAAGAGTGGGCAGAACCCAGCCCTGCTCGACAAACCACTATGCAGTACTCCCAGGATAGTCACTCGCGGTTAAAGATGAGTATCAGAGAGGGGGTCCTGTGGCAGGGACAGCAAGGAAAGGTCAAGACGCTCAGGAGGTGAGGACAGACTCAGGAATGCTGGTCCACAAGGGGACGCCCCGTGGGACTCCCAGGAAGGCAGTGGGCACCATGCAAGGGCAAGTGTTTTCTCAAAAGTCAGCAAACTGCTGCTTGAGGGCCAAGCCTGGCGACACCCATGTGTGCTGTCTGTGGCCCTTTCATGCTACAGCTACACAATGATCAAGTAGTATTGGGATTGTTATGGCCCAAAATCCAAAAATATTGCAAAAAATCATCTAGCTCTTTACAGAAAAAGGTTGCCAACTCCTGCTCGAGCTGTCCGAGGGCCTGAGTTAGAGGCAAGGTGCTGCCCCTGTCCACTCAGGAAGCCTTGGGCAAACCATTTTCATCTCAGAGCTCCATTTCTGTATCTGTCCCCACCACAGGTTTGTGTTGAGAATTTCATAACTCGTGTCTGTGACCGCACCCAGGCTAAGGAGCAGTTCAGTTGCTTCAAGGTGCTTGTCAGTCCTCTGTGGAGGGAACCAGAAATGTGTAGCCTGTGGTTCCTGGAGTGGCAGAAGGCAGGCTACTGGGCAGGATAGAATTTTCCTCTTCCTGGAAAGGAGGACTCACAAACCCATGTTTCTTTTTTTCTTTTTTGTTTTTTCTTTTTTCCAGGTACTGGCTGACCAACAAAGTCCACATCAAAAGACCCACCACTGGCCTCTTGATGTACACCCTGGCCACACGTTTCTGCAACCAAATCTACCTCTACGGCTTCTGGCCCTTTCCGCTGGATCAGAACCAGAACCCAGTCAAGTACCACTATTACGACAGCCTCAAGTATGGCTACACCTCCCAGGCCAGCCCCCACACCATGCCCTTGGAGTTTAAGGCCCTCAAGAGCCTACATGAGCAGGGCGCTTTGAAACTGACTGTCGGCCAGTGCGATGGGGCCACGTAAGGTGGGCGCCCTGTGGGACTCAGTGGCTCACATTTCCTGCCAGCTACACCACAGGCAGATGGGAGTCGGGGTGGCACAAACAATAGAACAAGCAGGCTAGTGGTTTTCTTTGTTAAAGTGTAAAACAGTGACCAGAATATATATATCTATACCTGCATATATATATTGACCTGAGTATTTATAACTGTGTGGTGTTCATCTAGCATTAGGCAGATAGGCCACAGGAAGAAGGTGTGGAGAACCCACCTGAACCAGGTTGAGACTCAGTCCATCTTTGGGGGTGGAAGGACTTGACATGACAAGAAGCCAATCCCATGACTTTGGATGACAAACTGCCTCCTGGTTTCGAGGGATCTTTGGGCTCATGGATGAATGGAGAGCCACCTGTTGTCAGCTGCCCCAAGCCTCTGGGTTACATGGATTCGGGGAGAGCCAAGGCCCAGAGGGGACACTTGACCCAGTCTAAAGTGGGTGCTGTTCACGGAGGAGAGGGAGGTTGGACAGTTCGACCGGGCAGAGGATTACAAGGAAACCAAGCAGCAGAGGCCCCATCGGCACAGAGGGCCTCGTTCCACGAACTTAGGGTTTGACTGCCCAAGGGACAAACCACGATCGACTCAAACGTCTCAGACAGACCTCCATGGCTATGAGAGAAGGTTAGAGAAGACACAATGGACAGTTCATATTTTGGCTTAGCAAGAACCACCAAGAACTTCGGGTGACACAAGCAGATGACACTGAAGAGGTGGAATGTTCTGAATCACGTTTTTGAAAAAAATCTAGACCTCCTGCAAGATCTAGGGCCCACTCGACCCTAGAATAAGGCAGGGGAGTGTCTACAATCTAGTTGTGTTTGGTATTTTTTAAAGCAACATGAGTCCACCAAGGAAGAAAAGACCCTGGGATTTCACCTTCTGAGTTAGTTTCCGTCTCACCCTGTTAGAATGTCACATGAGGGACGGTACTGTCCCCTCTGCCAACAGGGAAGCCACCATGAGAGCTTGAAAGGGTGCTGTCAGGATAAATGTCATCCTTCTTAACATACATAGGATTGCCTTTTGGGGTGCCTCACAGAGCCTCAGAGTGTGAGACCTGAAAGAATGTGAAGCATCTAGCTCCAAGTCCCTGCAGCCACCCGCTATTTACCTTCTGCATTCTGCACTCCGCAGGACCTCTGCAGCCAGACTGCTGTGTCAATGTCACTTTCTTGTCACTTTCCTACCCTGATGGTCACAGTAGCCCACACCAAACTCCAGCATTGAGGTTTTCAATTCTGCAGGGAGAGGTTCCAACGTCCACCCCACCTCCATGCACCCCCCTCTCCCCAGAAACAATGATTTTAGAATTTTTCAAAATCCCTTTTTCCTCCTATTGAGATTAATAGTACGATTTTAAAAAAGAATGTCCAAAGCCAAATGTGACTCCAAATAGTGGGCATAACCTCCCAGAAAAATCTGGGCTGGATGCCTGCAACTTAGGGGCTGGAATCACAGGTCACACATAGAGAAACATTAGCCGGCTTGATTCATTAGACGTATTCCTTTGCCTGATAAATAACTGTGTTTTAAAATATATTTGAAGGGTAAGTAAAAACCTATCTTGAAGGTGAAGGGAGTTAAGAAAACAATCAAGTCCTGCTCCTAAGCATATGAGACCGGACATAATTAATCAATGCCAGTGCAGAACAGGACCCTGACTCTAAATTAATGGTTGACCGGGAGGGAATGGAGGCAGCAGAACCATTAACCCCACACTCGAACGCTCCAGCCCAAAGCCGTGAGGGTGATGATACATCTCTGCATTTTCCCTTGTTGTTGCTTGAAGTCGGTGATGGGGGATTTACATTATAAAATGAATATTTTACAAAGGAACAGCCCTAATAGCTTCTGTGGGAGCTGAGTGGTTTCGGACTTTTCACAGGCGGTGGAAACAATTTGTATCATATTTTATACGTCTCCAGAGCCTTTCATCTTGAGGATCTCAAAGACCCTAGAAGACATTTAATTTCTAAAGCTTGAAGTGACCTGGGGAGTGGGTAGAATTTCTAGCAGGGGCTTGAGGGATTAACCAAGGCCTTGGATTCCAGAATGTCTCATGGCAAGCGCTGCTGGGAACTCATGTGTCAGTTTCCAGAGTTGGCCCTGAGCTCCGTCCACCAAGCCAGCACCGCACCCTCCCTTGGCAGGAGAGTCAAAGGGCCAGAAGTCTTTGGGAGTCCAGAACATGCTTTCCTTTCCGCCTGTCACAGTCCTGGCTCCTTAAACTGAAGCTGATGTGAGCTGGAGAGCAAGGAGACCTTCCACCCTGCCTTCGGGTTCTCTCTGGAGAAAGGTTGGAGACCCCAGGAAAATCAACAGGTGCACTGTTCCCCCACTCGGCATGAGTCCTGCAGTGCCAAAATGCCTTGGCCATGTGATGGCGGAGCTCCAGGAGCCTTGGCGTTCACTGGCTCATTGTCCTCCTCCATCTGGGCATGCACAGTCAGGGGCCAGTCGTCCTTTCCTGCCCATTCAGAGTTCAATTTGAGCCTCCACTGCTGTTCCTGGTGTGGGCCAGCTGACCTTGGGTGACCCCAGGGAGTCGCACAGCCTGTACCCGGCCCCCAGATCTGCTGCTGTAACTGCAGGGTCACAGGCACCCTGGGAGAATGGGCCTCTAGCCTCAGCCAGCTCTCACTGCTGACAGGCACCCGTCTGTCACCTCCTGCCACCTGTCAGATGCCCAGTCTGCCTGCCATCACCCACCCAAGCACTTCCAACTACATTCTCCCCAAGTCTCAACATGCCCCCATCATTCTCCTACTTCATGGAAGAGGCAGAGCCTTCTGAAATGAGATCTGCCCCTAAAATCTCCTCTTCTTCCTCCACTTTCTGAGGAAACGTTGTCCCCACCAGTTACATTTCCTGTACGCCCTCACTCTCTCTCCTTCACCTCTGTTGCCTCTGCCCATCAGCACACACTCACTCCACCGTGCTGGCCTTTTCCCTCACTTCCTTCTCCACCAGCCCCAGGAAGGGCCTCCAGCACTCACGACTGCCCTCCCTCTTGAGGCCCCTCAGCTTCCCCCAGCTCCTGGCAGCAGTGTCCCAGCGCCGACGCACATCTTACCTCCCAGCTCTCTACGCCACTTGGCTCGGCATCGACTCCTCCTGGACACCCCTGGCCCCACAGCACCCAGAATGCCATGTTCTTGTGTTTCTTCTCCTTTTCCAATCCCTCTCAGCTATGTATATATTTATATATGTATTTATTTATTTATGATTTATTTATTGACACCCCTACTTTGATCAACAAAGAAATCAAGGTAGATCTGACCAGTATTCCCCCTCTTCTCCTTGCCCCACCACATGGACATGCCTTAACTGGCATCCTCTCCTGGATCTGCCTGCACGCTCCATCAGCAGCCTCACATCTGCCTTTAGACCAGGCCGCACCTTTCTAAGCTGCCGCCACCCCAACCCTCTCCTGAGCTCCAGGCTGGGATTGCACCTGCTAGGGGAACACTCACCCCATCTGCTCTCATAGCAGCACCATCAACTCAACATGTCAGAAAGCCAAGTGGATCATCTGTGTCCCTTCCCACAATCCCTCCTTTTTCTACTGAAAGACCCGTGATCCCATCAGCCACCCAGTCTGAGACGCTGACGTCATCTTCGACTCTCCTCCCACGTTCTGCCTTGCTAGTCTTCCCGCTAGCACTAACCTCACCTCTTTGTCATTTGACTATTTCAGCAACAGTCTCACCTCCCAGATTACCTCTGTGCACGCTGACACATTGTCCAGTCCATCCTGACATGCACGGTGATTTTTATCTCCCGTTGCACACAAACATTTAAAGTTCCCCGGCCCATGAACAAATGTACAATTCTCTGTTTTGACATTACAGACCACCAGGTAAGGCCCCGTTCTTCCTTTCCACCCTCCCCTGGCCAGCATAGGAGAGCTGTTTTCCCTGGAAAGGGTGCCTGCGTTTTCCTGTCTCTGTGCCTTTGGTCTTGCTGTTCCCATCCCCTGGAATGCTCCCTTTTCTTCCCTTCAAAGCTCATGCAGAAACCACGTCTTTCATGAAGCCCTCCCTGATCTACCAACCACTGGGATCTCTCCCTCTGCTGAACCACCGTAGCACTTTATTTGTACCTTTCTCATGGCACTTACCATATTCTGCCTTGTATTATAGTTATTTGTGCACTTGTCCTATGACTGTTCTTAGACTGTAAGCTCGCCAAGGGCAGGGACTGTGTTTTGTTCACCTGTATCCATCACAGCACTAGGCGTGGTGCATAGCACACAGCAGTTCCTCAATAAATGTTTGTTGGATTAAATCCTTAATGCTTGTGGAGGGTTTGATAGATAATGAAGTTATTTTGTGTCTATGTCGCAGGAACCTCCAAAAAATCATGTGGGTTGGGCCAAAGCAGGATCATTGTGTAGGTCCTAAAACTGGGGCCAGAAACCTGCACGAAGCCTCATAGCTCCCTGGTAGAGTTTCCACCCAGGTCTTCTCATCCTCAGTTCAGGGCTTTTTCTGTCACTTTTGTGGCTGGGTCACTGTAAACTGAAACTGGCCCTATGCAGAGGCCTAGACACAGAGACCTGGCAACCCTCAGCAGGAAGCCCATCAACTCAAGCAAAATCTCACTCCTTTCTGGGAAGGACAAAAGCCATCTGGGTTTTATCAGGCCTGGGCTATAGGACCCCAATAATCATTCCCACTGCTGTTGCTGCAGGGTAGGAAACCATCCTTCCAGATGGCACGGAGACCAACAACTCCAAGAGGCTGCTGCGTGATCAATCTCTTCATGCCTAATTAAGGCTCCCTTCCAGAATGAATGGAAGAGGGATGTTTACGGATGCCAGTCAGATGGGACTCCAGACACACAAACTGCCTCGCGAACATCCCTAATGGCATTCCCCCATGACACTGACAGCCTGCCCCAGCCCCTGTCTCTCACCAACACTACGGATGTCATCTCTTCACATCTTTATCTCCATTCTTTGCTTCCTGTCTTCAGGGCTCTTCCCTTGGCATTCACCAGGACCAGAGTGAGCCCAGGGAGCCAAGTGGCATCCCTTCTCTTGGGTCCCTGAGCCCTGGCCTGGAACGGATTCCTGTGAGATAGCAGGAGAGGAGAGGAGTGGGGAGCAGGAGGCACTCTATGCCACCCCCTGTGGAAGCAGAAAATAAACAGGCTTTTGTTCTGGTGGCGGGTCATCCACAACAATGGGATGTTTCCGTGGTTCCATCTAAAAGCAATATCTTAGTTGCTTGGGGCTTTAGGACTGGGCTAGTGTAATTTCTATCCTTCGCAATCCAGGTGATAGGACAATATCCATCACAGTCCACTGAGCCATCCAGCCCCAGATCATGGTTTCTCTAGAATCATCATAGTTGTTTGCAGCCAAAGTTGAATAGAACCACCCAACAAAGAGCACTAAAGGTCCCTTGTGGCCTTGCTCAAGTATTCCTCACCACTTCCCCAGCCACCTTCCCCTAGAACATGGGGGATAGGAAATGGGCTTCCAAGAATTGTGACAGGAAAGACCTCGAGCTCTCCAGCCATGACATTTTTCAGTGTTTAAGAGTGTTCCCCAAAACTGACCCAGCACCAGCTATAAGCAGCTACTCCTTAAGGAATTCATAGAAAATGAGGACCCAATGGTCAAGAAGAGGGAGGACTTCCATGCAACCCACGTGGACCGTAGTGTGATGGGTCCAGTCAGTCACAGGAGTGGTGCAGCCCTCCGTGGAGCATAATGAGGTGAGCTAAGTGGAGATGCTGCAGGAAAACACCCTTTCAATTTGTCTCCAAGTGTCTGTGTTTTCTAAAATGAGGCTGTAATGGTGGAGATGCTGGACAAAGGCAACGAAGGGATGACTGGCCCCTCAGAGTCATATGCTCAAGCGAAGCTGTGTGTTGCAGGGAAGGCCACGCTGGGGCAAACTGTTCACATTCTCATTCCGGGGGCCAAGGTGGGCGAGAATGAAACTCGCTGTGATAACAAGAGCGGGGCAGGTTGCTTGGCTGCCTCTTGTGTTCACAAGTGCCCCACATCCAGGCAGGAGCTCTGGAAGGAGTGCCAGATGATCTGAGAGCCTGCCACTCAGGAACTAGAGGGCACAAATGAGACTGCTTCGCTCTGGTATTTTTCCATCTGTAAAGATGGAGAAGACACCTACCAACCTCCTTGATGCAGTTATTGCAAAAATGCAAATACGGGACGAGGTAGAGAGAGGAATCGGGGAGGGGGACTGGGGATGCTCAGTGTTACAAAAGAAATGAAATGTAAGCAGCTGTGAGTTTTCAGGATTCTGCTTGTCCAACATCAGATCACATTGTTGCCCTGCTTAAACCCACAGTGGCTTTCCTTCACCCTTGCAAGAAAATTCCAAGCATCTGACCATGGCTTACAAGACCTTAAGCCCTCTTCCCCCGGCCCCTTTTTATTCCAGTGTCAGGCCCTTTGCACTTGCTCTGCCTCTGCCTGGAGATCTGCTTCCCAGCTCCTTGCCTGCCGCCTCTGCCTCATCTTTCATCCTTCAAATTGAATGTCACCTCCTGGGGAGGCTGCTCCTGGTCTCCCTCAGCTAATTACTTTCTATTATATGACACATTAGCCTGCTAGGTGGTCTTCATAAACTTGCTAAATTATCTCATTTATTTCGTAGTTCTCAACCCCCTAAAAGACCCCAGTGCTCAGGCCACACGCCATACAAATTTAGTCAATATCTCTGGAAGCTGTCATGGACATCTTCCTGGCTCACGGTCAGACTGAGGAACAATGACATGTCTGCTCACTAATTTATGGTCTGCCTGCCCTTCCAGGATCTTCCGGGGGATTTGTTTTCCACAGGGGTCACCTGTGCCCTGGAAGATGGAAGTGGCCATCCTCCAAAGTACTTGTTGATGACTCTGCCTGAGGTGCTGGCAGCAGGCTAGCTATGGGACCATCAGCCTGGCACTCTGATCAGGCACAGACCAGCTTTGAATTTCCCAATGGTGACACTTTACCCCTGCAGCTCCAGATAAATGTCCAGCATTTTTACTCATTAGCTGAGCTAGTGGATGGAATTTTTCCAGTCCCCATTTGACCTGCTCAGAGAATTTCACGACCCTTGCCTTACACAGGAGGCTCATTCCCATCTTGTGCAGGCTTTAGAATCCTACCCTCTAGCCCCACCGCAAAGGCCTTCACCAGTTCAGCTGCACATTGGAACCACTGGGGGAGCATTTAAACCTCCTGAAACCTAGGCCTGGCCTTCAGGGAATCTGATTCCTTGGTCTGGGGTAGGGTCCGGGCATCTCCTGAAGCTCCCCGTGTCACGCAGAGATGTAGCCCCAGCTGGGAACCACTGACCCAGACCAGTTCCCGAACTTCTGTGACCGCTTCCATGGCAGCCCCTCTCAGGCCCCTGATCTGAGGTCTTTCTTTTATTTCTGGCTTCTGGGAGTTTCCCTCCTTGATTCCAAGCTGGGCCGTTTTGTCTGATGGGTTTTATTGCCACTGCTGTTTTATGAGTGGCGTCCAGACCTCTGGATTGCTTGCAGTGGGAGAAAAGGCCTGTCAACCATATTCTCTGCCTCCCCTTCCATGCTGTGAGGACAGGGCCTTGAAGCATCTCTGAGCACTAGCACTGTGCCTGGCACAGAGTAGGCACTTAGTAAACACCTGCCGCGTGATTAAAAGACAAGTGTCAATGTTTCAAATGAAGGCTTTCACCCTGCTGACCCCAGAGTGGGAAGGGGTCTCGCCTAGTAGGAAGAGCACCGAGGCTTCCCCAGGAGAAGAAGGAACGGCTCCCACTTTCTCTGTGAGGCCGTGTGTCTGGACCTGTGTGACTTGCTTTCTATAGTAGCCCCGGTTGGGGTATTGTACCCATTTCACAGATCAAACAACCAAGGTTCTCAGGAGTTAAAGACACGTTTAAGATGCCAAAGCTCACAAGTGGCCAGTTTGATGCTGAAGCCAATGTTATTATCACCATCTCAGCGCAAAAGCCATGAAGGCCACTTAATTCTACCAACCGTCAACCATCTTGTCATAAAGACAGAACTCACCCTCCTCTAGCCCAGACTCCCCACAGGCTACTGCTTCACCCTGGCTCCTCCCAATGACAGAGTGGATACAGACCCAGAGCACACCTGTGCAGCAATGCCAATTGTTCAGGTGCTTCCTTCCCAGGTGGTCAAGAGCCATAGCTCTGAGCCCTCCATGTGCCCTGTGCTCCAGCACTGTGGCCAAGGTCCACTCTGATTGGTCAGGGTCCCTCTGTGTTGGCAAATACTTTGCATATCACCCCTGCTCCCAGGCCCTCCAGGCAAGCATCTAGGGGCCAGGTGGCCAATTGGGGCATTTGGACCACTGGGAAGGACACTACAGCCTCACTGCATTGGTGTTTCCGTGGCAGTTATATCGGGTAACGGGCTTGCGTCTCTTGTTTTCCATGGACACATCCTTGACCCAAAGCAGTGTAGCTCATGTGAATACAGATTGCAAATTCAATTGCAGAAGCATAGAGAGGCACAGGAAGAGGCATCTGTGAGAGTCTGCCAGGACTTGGAATGAGCGAACCATCACCTGGAATACCCTCTGAGAGGCACACAGTGAAGGGCCAGAGGATGACAGAAACAGGAGGATCAGAGGACCAGAGAAGAGCAGGGAATGTTCATTGAGCACTAACTAGAAGCTTAACATGGGCTAGGTCATAGCTACCCACTTGAGGTTGATGTTACTGTTATTCTCACACCCCATAGAGGAGGAAAGTGAAGCAAGAGGCTCATAAACTTGCCCAAGGCCAAAAAACTAGGAAGGGGTTGATCTGGGATTTAAACTCCAGCCATTGGGTTCCAGAGTGGTGCAGGAAGCCTCTAAGCTTGACCTTGATCTGTTGCCACTAAAGCTAATCAAGGTCATAAAATGGGGATAAATAACAGCAGCTTCAGAGGAGGTGGTGGAGGAAAGAGCAGTCTAGCCAAAGTGCTCAGTGCCATGGCTGACACACGGCAGACACCCAGCTGGAAGGTAGCTAGCTGCTCGAGTCAGGGTGCTGCAGGAGCACAAAGCCAGGCCGACATTAAATGAGGTGCTGACATTAAATTAGGGGTGCAGCCTGCTCTATCGTGATGATCCTAACTGCAGCTTTCAGGTAAAGGGAAACAGAGAAATGTACCTATTTTGCTCAGGCCTAGAAACTGAGGCCTGAGATCAATTCAAACCCACAGCATTAGACTTCATAGGTGAGTGATCCAGCCAGCTCCACAGTTGCTATCCCCATACTCAGCTCAGCCACCAGCACCTCTCCACCCCCAGCTGTCACCCGGATCCACCCAGTGGAACTGCTCCTACTGCAGCACCAGCGACAGGCTCTGGCTGCAGAGCCCTGGGCCCGTGGCTGCTGCGGCTGCCTTTTGAGTTTGGCAGGTAAGCTGAGCATTCTTCTCTGCACACACCGGGCCACTTGGCTCCGTGTCTGAGGATGAGATGAGAGGCAGCCAGGCTGCTGAGAAAATGTGGAATCACTCTCTGGCAGAGACCAGCCTGGAAGCGAGAAGCAAAACCAACAAAGCAGAGGACAGAGCAAATGAATGAAGAGCAGGAGTGCGAAACGGGCCGCAAATGTGCAGGGCATTGTCCTTGAACGCTACAAGATGCTACCGGCTGACCTAATCAGCACCCTTGCTCCAAGACGCTGCCTTAAAATTAAATGTTTGCACCAGGCTGGATTCCTGCAGGGAAGGGGTCTCGGGCCCTCCTTTGCAGCATCAGGGAAAATAGGGGACCTCAGATGGCCCAGGCCCTACCCTTGCCTCCTCAGCTTCCTGACTGAGCAGAGTGGATCCTGCCACTTGATGATCGGTAAAGTGGAAATTAAAAGCTTGCCGGGCTGGATTGCTCTTGTGATTAAACCAGATAAGGGACCTTAGTTTCTTCACCCACTCAGAGCGTTAGATGCTTGGCAACTCACTGCTTCTCTTCTGGGGCTGCTGTCTCAGGCCAAGGGGGCAAGGACTAGGTTGTGGTGAGTTCTGCTGAGTCCCTGCCTAGCTCAGCTTGCCTTCTTCTCTGCTGTTGAAGCAAACAGGCATGGCCTGGCATGCAGTAGGTGCCAATAATGAATGAATGCCTTTTGAATGAAGGGATGAATGCTTTCTAGTTTACTCAAATTATTCATCTGTGGCTACTCAACAAGTGGGCTCCCCAGGCCTCAGTTTCTAGGCCTCAGCAAAATAGGTGCATTTCTGTGTCTCTCTCTGCCTGAGAGCTGCAGTTAGGAGCACAGCAATCGAACAGACAGCACCCTCAATTCAGTATCAGCACCTCATTTACTGTTGGCCTGGCTTTGTGTTCCTACAGCACCCTGAGTCAAGTAGCCAGCCATCACACCTCCCACTTGTTGAGAGTGTCTGCTGTGTGCCAGCCATGGCACTGAGCACTTTGATTAGGCTGCTCGTTCCTCCACTACCCACTGTGAGGCTGGTATTAATTGTCTCTATTTTATGGACAAGGCCTATGGTTTGTCACATGGCTAGTAAGTGGCAGAACAGGGATCAAACTCAGGTTGAAGCTTCCTTCTAGGAATCTCTGCCTCCCTCATCTATACAGCATTTGAAGCCTACTCATATGTTCATTCATTCAACTCCATCTTAGTCAGTTTAGGCTGCTGTAACAAATACACCATCGACTTGGTGACTTAAACAACAAACATTTATTTCTCACTGTTCTGGAAGCTGGAAAGTTCAACATCGAAGTACAAGCAGGTTTGGTTCTTAGTGAGAGCTCGTTTCTTGGCTTGCAGATGGCCATCTTCTTGCCATAGCCTCCCACGGCACAACGCAGAGAGACAGAGGCAAGATCTGGTGTCTTTTCTTATATATAAGGTCACTGATCTCATTCAAGAAAGTTCCACCCTCATGACATAATTATCTCCCCACCTTCTAATACCTCCTAACACTATCACACTGGGGAGCTAGGATTGCAACCTAAGAATTTCAAGGGTACAGGCATCTCTTCACCCATTCATCTAAGAAACCTCAGGGAGTATCCACTAGATATCCTGGCATATGAACAGCCTGTGTTTGTTCCTGTGGAGGCTCGCAGTGCTGTGATGGATGGCGGTGAGAGGGAGCAGACACATGGGAGAGTGCTGCAAGAGCCCGGTGCTATGTAGAGAGAGGGAGCTCAGAGGGAAAGGAGCCCGGAACTCTACTTTGCAGGAGATTACACCAGAGAGGACGCTTCAGGGGAAGCTTCACAGAGGAGAGGGTAGCCTTTGAATTCTTGCTGCTGGTTCTCCAACTCAGTCATGTCAATGGCTTCCTCCTTAACTTACCCATTCTCTCTAGGACTATCTTTACTACTGAAGGGAAGCAGAACTTTGAAATAAGCCTTGGGAATGTAGCTCATGTGCCCATGAAGGCAGCTCTCCTTTCCTCTACAGACGCATGGACTGCAGGGGAAGAGTGAAGGCTGGGACACTCTGACCCTCGTACTCCCACACCCAGAGCTTGGCACCCTTCCAGCTCTGGAGCCGTGAGGTTTAGTACACATGCATAGTACACAACCTGCACCAACAAGCCACCCAATAGATCTTAACAAGAATAGGTCAAGAAGAGGACTCCATGTGTGTGCCAAAGAGTATCTACCTCCATTCATTCATCCAGCTTCGCAAACACCACTGAGAGCCAGCAAGGAATCACGCCCTGCCATGGACACTGTAGGACACACAGTCCCTGCCTCAGAAAGCTCGTCTAAGGGGGGAACAATTGTGCACAGTCAATGGCAGAATGAACTACAAAGGAAATGCCAATCCAACTGGGGGCATTCGGAGGATTCACAGAGAAGGTGATAGATGAGCTGGGTCTTGAAGAATGAGTGAGATGTTGATAGTGGGATGTTGACTCTCTGGTCTACCCTTCTGGGAAAGCACCACCGCCGTCCGCAGCAAGGAACAGAAGAAGCACTCAAGCAGCTAGCTACCAACTACTGCCATCCCTGGCCAATTTACAAAAGCCACCAGGGAAATAAGCCCTGCCACCATTGCCCAGCCTCCTCACCAGGTCGTGATGATGCCCCAGGTGAGGCCACCTCAATTCAGGAGGCCCTTGATGTGTGGGTAATGGTCTCAGTCAGGCTAAAGGAGGAAGGAGAGGCAGGTGGTGTCCACACAGTCAGTGTTGAGACCTACAGTCTCACCTTGTTTTTTTCCAACCCAAGCCCAACCCCTCATGCCTTCATTCTCTTTCCTCTGCACCTTCCCCTGAGGTATAACGAGGCCCCAATGCTTCACTCCTAATCATAGTTTTCTTAGTTTGTTTACGGGTCTCCTCATTGTAATACCAGTCACCAGCCCAGCCACTGTGGAAAAGCTGTCGTTTCCTAGGCTTACTGTCAATTGCAGAGGCCATTGAGATGCAGACCAGTTTTCTTCTGGTCTTTCTTGGGGAGGATGGATGTTTCCAGCCACTCTCCTGTGGGAGTCCAACTGAACAGAAATGGGGAGCTGAGGATGAAAGTGGTGGCTGCTCTATACATCACTGAGCTGGGCGAGTGGGGCCAGGCACTGTCTCTAACCACAGCCACCAGCAGGAGGTGGGAGGAAATGGGTGTGTTCTCAGCACCTTCTGCTCCACTTTCAACATCAACCCAGGCCTTGGGTCTCCTCACTCGTGCCCTTGCTCCATGTCTCCCTTCTCTTCATCGCCTCACTTTCTCCTAGTCCTTATAGAACAAGACCCGCTCTCTTGATTTACTTAACACTTTTAATTCTACCAACATAACAGAACTGTGCCCACACATATATAAAAGTGACATTATTCCTCTACAACCTGCTTAAATTATGTCTAAACAAATACATGTTCATTACTTATCCTAATATACACACTTCCTCCAAAATAATAGCTTATCTCATCAAATCTATCCAACAGTGGATTTGGATAAAACTAAATTTGCCTACAGAAAAAGTAGACTTTAGAGAGAGCTGGATGTCTGTGAGTCATGCCTGGCAGCCTGGCATGGAAATCCAAGGTCACTCATAAAAGACACATGAACGTCAGAGCCCAACCCAGAAACCACAGGCTCCTCTGACTACATCCAAGATGGCCCTCCCATCTTCCTGGCACAGAGTCTGCCCCCTCTCATCTCCTCAGCCATGGGCTTCACTGTGCCCAGGCTTCAGATACAGCATCTTCATTTGCCTGCCCATCTTTGCTCATGCTGCCATGATCTCCCCTATCTCATGTTTCCTTGTGACTCTTCTCTCTGACCCCACTCACTAAGTTGACCCCAGAATAGCTGACCCCTGGCTCTTCTCAGGGAGCCTCCAAAGAAATCATTCCTGGGGTAAGCCAGATGGGTAAAGACAGGAATCTCCTGGGCCCGGACCCCTAGGCACTGCATTCCCACCCTGCTGGTGTTAGTGCAGGAGGCAAGGGCATTCAAGCCTCCAAAAAAAAAGAAAAGCTCAGATACAAGGAACCATCTTGATAGTACATAACACTGAAATTGTTTCCTTTCAACCCCAATCTGAGTAGCCATCAACTGATA